GGGACTTGAGCATCATCTCACGCATCCGAGTGTAGTAAGCCATCAAGTTATCATACTTCTCACTCTCTGTGCAGCAGGACATGTACTTAGTAAACTCCGAATCGGTGTCAAAGTTCGACCATAAATAACCAAATACGGTAGCATCAATAGTGGAAGGCTTATCGTCATTCACGAGGTATTTTTTCTCTCCCAAGATGATCGAGAGAGCCTCGATATCCTCTTTCATTCTTCGCTTCCGGTCAACTTCGGGGAGGCGTCCGATTCCCTGGCCGTTCAGAATCGCCTTGAAACTTCGCAACAGAAACGTCGGGAAGATCCATCGGGCAACCGTTGGTAAATTCATCAACTTCTTATTCAATACTTCGAAAGCTCCATCTTGTAGGGCCATGTCGGCGAGAGTAAGGAAGTAGGTGTGCTCCTCCACCATACGTTGAACGGCGATGCTCATGGCTCGTTGCTCCAGGCTAAGGTCGGCATCCAAGTCCTTGCCATACTTATCTGATAGCATCTTCACTATAGCACTCGAATCTGCGTAGACCTGGCCGTTGAGCTCGATGTACGGTGCTTTACCTGAGAGTTTAACCAAATGACAACTGCTGTAGGAGTATACCTCACCGTAGGGGCCATCGGGTCCATTAGCCGGTAGAAGGGTATACGGTAAGCCTGCTAGCTCAAGCCAGATGTGAAGCTTGGTGCAGAAGTGACTCGCTGATGAGGCCATACCATCACCATGATGATTCATCAATATGTAACTACCGAGAATTAAAATGCATGAGTAGCGATCACTTCGGATTGTAGACCAAACAGAAGCTCAACTTACACGTAGATATGATCATTGATGTAATCAGGAGTCTTGAGGCTCATGGCGACTAATGCTGAGAAATAAGATATTCAAGCAACTAAACGGTTCCATTTGAAGCAATGATAATCAGACTCGTTCAATACACTAGCCAGTTGGCCGACATGCTCACATAGGAAGGTTGGACCAACGCTTTTACTCTTACTATATTGAATTCTCCTGTGTGTTGCACACTCGTTGTGTTGTGAACCCTCAGGGTTTTGTGAAGCACCGTTCAATGCTGTGAGAACACAGTAGATCGATCTGTGGCCTCGAGAGCTCTACACAAGCGGCTGTATGCAAGCGGTATATCACAGACTGATTCCTGTGGATAAGTCACCGCAACACCAGTACTCTAAGATGCTAAGTGTGAAGTGATAGTCTACCTCGATAGACCGCTGTATGGAGGCTCGGCTACCCATGTTGCTTCGGTGGATCCTGATGTCTACTGTGATGAACAAGGGCGATAAGTCATCGTCGACACCATGAGCACTATCGTATGCATTTCGCCTCTGGATTTGCAACATCTAGAGCCGGGTCAGGATAACACGAGAACCTCTGGAGTTCTAGGCTCCAATATTCAAATATACAACTTTACATTTGCCGGCCCCGGAAAGATATGGTATCAAAATCGCTCGCGTTCTTGATCCACGTCGAATATTGGCGTTCAATGACTTAGTCGAATGATAGAAAAGCGATTGATCAATATGAGGAGGCGGTCGAGATCCAACGGTTCTTTCTTCAAGCTGGAAAAGTCCTGCCAACATTTTATTGTTCTGGAATAGTATTGATTCACCTAGGAGGATCTCGCAAGAATACAGTCTGGGACAAACGACAGAGTCAGAATCTGACACTTGTTGCCTTAGTTGTTTGGAGAAGCATGGAAAACACGCTTAAGAGTTCGAGAGACGAGCGACTCGTCCAGAATCGAGTTGTGTCAAGACTACGAGATCGTGAAGGGATGACTAGTCGACTTGAACGACGAGATGGCCTGAGATTTACTCTGTCAGTCGTTGGTGTTGCTACGCTTCTCTAATTTCTCCTTTTTAACCCATCCGCTGCCACCCGTAGGCAAGTATCATTGAACTTCTCGGTTAGATCTCTCTTCCTCCCATATCTCGTTCGTTGCTATTCTTGAGATCTATAGGTTACACATCGTAGCTCAATGATTTGGTTTTGCAGCCAAGGGTGTGCTAAAAATCGAATTTTTTAATCGAAGACTCGTAACTACCTTGAACAAAGCTGTTAGCAGACTGGTATACTACTCAAGAACGTTCTCATTCAAATGAGCAAACGAATTACCCTCACCGAGGCGAATTCTATTTTTGGGCGAGCGCTAAAAATCATGCTCCGGCGCGCTTTGGGATTTTTGGTTGCGATGTGCCTGCGAGTTTCTCATTAGATTTAGGTGGTGCTATACGTCACTCGGGAGGTGTATAGTTCTACTTTCACGATAAGGAATTTTCTATCGGTTCTTCGTGATACAATACTAAACTCATTCCCACTAAGAGAATCCTAAGATTACCCTTGGCTGGCTCTGTCGATTTGGACGGTCCCTCAACGCGATTAGTATTCATGGGAGAATACAAGCTTGCCAGCCAGATAGCCACAGAGTCGACATATCATTATATAAAACTAGTCTAGTAGTGTTAGCTTGGTTTAGCCGTAAATGACTGAGGGAATCGATACTCCTCGAAATAACCAATCTAGTGAGCAACAACTAGTAGAGGCAGCCCGGTCGAGATTACGGAATTCCAAACTACTAGAGAACTGCATCGCTGAACAAAAGTTGAAACTTGTCGAACTCCTTGGACAGTGTGTAAGGGAAGTTTACGAGAGAATTCAAGGTGGCGAATACATTGATCCTGATAGGGTTGAGTATCCACTGCTGCAAACATCAGATAATGTAAATTAATAACAACAACTGCATCGTATGTGATGATCATATACGCAGGTATTAGACTTGGATGAATTACCTCTACGAAACTACGCTGAAGTCGATCTTCGCACGGACGTTGTTGATAGTGTTCTCAGCAATCTATGCGAAGGAGTACTTTCACTCACTCTTGATACTGTAGGCTGCTGTTTCTAACACATGTATGTTATTGCTGATGAGCCTAAGGCAGATACCAGTAAGGAACGTGAGACAACACGAGGCACTCTTGCGGCAAAATCAGGCATTGGTCGAGAGAATGCAAACTGTTGAGGAAACCTTATTGCGTCGCTCTAGGTGATGAGACCAACAACTTGTAAACGAAATGATATTTTTATCAGTCTTCTATCACGTTGTCGACTTGCATATTATCGCGAACTCACTCATCTGAGGAACCAGATCTACCTCAAGGGTTTGAGGGAAGCCCATGGCCATGGTGAGTGAATTCACTTTTATGAATTTTCGAAGTATATAATGTGGATAGTGCAGCATTAAATGCATTGTCTACGAGTAGGAACATTGGATTTTCTATGTGGTGATTTGTCTGCTGTCATTCACCAAATGTTTTCAAATCACTTCATATTGCGTAATTTTCTACTGAGTATTACGCCACTTCACGTAAAACGGGGAGAGGAACTCCATTATTGTTACCCTAGTAAACGATGTAGCTTATCTACAGTCGTTTTTCATTTTGTAAATCTCGCAACTTCGAATGTCGAATAAATATGTACTGTTGTGTATGAAATCGACATTTACTACTCACAGCAGCGATTTCAACATCGGAGTTTCACGACCCGTTTGATATGAAGTGGTGTTAAACTTCATGTGAAAAACGCGATATGAAGTCAACTGGGAAGACCTCGCGAGTTACGGTGGGTAGATCACCCCATATCACGTAAAACGCATCTTCACGTGTTTTACGCGTTATTCGCTGCTCACAAGCGTTTTTGTCCGCGAATTGAAGTGAATCGGGTGAAAATTTATTGTCTTTTTTCCTCAGAGGAAACTGAAGGGGATGTTTACGAAGCTTATTATTTCGACCCGGTCGATTTCATAGAGGACGACCTTTCAGAGTGAGAGTCGAAACATCTGATCTCAGAAGTAGTCTGAGATTTTTAAATAGGTTGCTCAACGATAGGATAAAACTATCTGTCGAATTGTGGGCCAAACGATACAACGAGTTGAAAGTTGTGAATGAGGAATTGGAAAGTATAATAGCGAGAGATGGATTACGTAAGCGCTTGAGGAAAGGAAAAGCGTATTTTCTTTCGGGGGGGGGGGGGGGAATTTGAATAATTTGAACTCTTTCTTCATTGGAACTGGATGCCACAATTTTTAATCCGCATTTTCTCTGGTGGAAGGTAGTAGTAGTATTCATTTGGTTGGCAGGCGAGAAGTTGAGGAAAATGCAGGAAGAGGAGGAGGCCAGACGAGAGGCACTCAGGTGGACCTACTTTGAATCTTTTCATGATGAACCTAAGATACGTCGTGTCGTTGTCAGGAGTTCGTCAGCTTTGGATGTGCCAACGCCTCCACCGTCGTTAGAAAAGGAGGTCGCTGAGTTATGTGGCAAATACCCTCCTTCTGAGGTCCTCAAGGTCTTAGCTGAAGTAAGTGGTTGTTTGATAGTGTTGATTGTCGTGTTCCTCTAGTAGTAGTAGTAGTAGTAGTAGTAGCGCGGTGCGGCGGTTCTCACGGTAGTTGATGGTTGTATGGTCAGATGTACCCCGAGGTTATGAGTGAGTATATTCAAAGTCGGATCGATAGAGAAGTACAACTAGCAGTGGCTCGAGCATTAAAAGTGAGGAGGAGGAACTAACCCCATTGTGTGGATCACTCCATATACACTGTCGTTGATGCTGCTGATTGTAGCTAGTGTGATCACCGCTGCCCGGGGCCATAGCAACTGAGGAACCCGTATATACGTATGTATGTGAGAATTTATAAACGAGCATAGGAATGCTCCGTAGAGTAGTATGAGTGTTATTTTGCTATTGGTTTTTGTTATATTCTCGAGAGAATTATGAAGTCTTTGAGGATGCGTTTGCTCTCCTCAGCTGAGTTTGGTAGAAGTTTACATTCATAGCATGTTAGGTGAAACTATAGAGAAACTATATTGTCACCAACACATGCAGTTGACCATGTGCATAGTTTTCCGCACGGTCATTATCAACATATTATTTTTCTAATTTGGCGAGGGTATGGTATGAGTATTATTTCTTATTATATTTTCAGGAAGAGCGTAGTAGTATGAATGCGAGGATGGAGGAGTTGAGGAAAGAGGAGGAGAGGAGATGGCGGGAAAAGGTAATAGTCGATATAAAGTGCTTAGTAAACTGATGGATATTCTGTGGGAAAATATGCACACTGTCAACCACATGTGATGATGAAAATTTGAGGAGTTGTCGTATATAAACTCCTATAATAAGTGTTGGAAACTCCTGAGCTCAGCTGCTGAGGAAAGCGATTACACATATATTCCTACTCCAACACTGTATAGGAAACTCCTGAGCTCAGTAGCTGAGGAAAGCGATTACATATATTCCTACTCCAACACTGTATAGGAAACTCCTGAGCTCAGCGGCTGAGGAAAGCGATTACATATATTCCTACTCCAACACTGTATAGGAAACTCCTGAGCTCAGCAGCTGAGGAAAGCGATTACATATATTCCTACTCCAACACTGTATAGGAAACTCCTGAGCTCAGTAGCTGAGGAAAGCGATTACATATATTCCTACTCCAACACTGTATAGGGAACTCCTGAGCTCAGTAGCTGAGGAAAGCGATTACATATATTCCTACTCCAACACTGTATAGGGAACTCCTGAGCTCAGTAGCTGAGGAAAGCGATTACATATATTCCTACTCCAACACTGTATAGGAAACTCCTGAGCTCAGTAGCTGAGGAAAGCGATTACATATATTCCTACTCCAACACTGTTGAGACAACAGCTTTCGATATATGGGAGAAAACGCGTATGAAAATTAAAGCGTGGTTGAGGAAAAATTGCAAACCGAATCCATTGAGAACGGGCGATCTTCATATACTTTTCTACCCTTCTGTTGTAGATGCAGGAGTTGGAGGGGAAGATGATGATGATGATGTTGGGCAGCAGCAGCACGACGGAGCGTGCCCCAGCAGCAGCAGAAGTGGAGGAAAGCAAGGCACGTGTGGTGGTGGAAGAGGAGGAGAGGCAGCAGGTAGAGGAGGTTAGTGTGGTGGGGATTAGAAGGGAACTGGAAACTAGTGAGAAAAGGTAATAATAGAGTGTTTTGTGGAGAGCTAATGTGGGGAGGAATCGTATATTCATACGAGTTTTACGCCACGTTTTACGTGAAGTGAAAAACGTGGTGATATGCAGTAGTCGTGAAATATGTTTTTCACTAGTGTTGTTGTTTTCTCATATCACTAGGGCGGCCGCCAGCCGTGAAACTCCACTGTACTTGCATTCGCTCTTCCTACTCCCATCTGCTCTACTAGTAGTGTTGGGGGCCAATAAGTCGACAGTAAGGTTGACGATGCAGAGGTCATGCTGAATGATATGTAGTCGCAGTGTGAGAAGTGAATAAACGTAAACGTATGAATTTTAGCGAATGGTTGGAGATAATATGATGTATTATGATAGTAGTATGCAGTTTCATGACGTTTCCTAGTGATATGAAAAACATATGCCGCATTTCCCTTGGTGAAGAGCGCCTGTGAGCAGTGAATAACGCGTAATGTTTCGGTATAGTTCGCGAAGTGTTTTCAATTCACTTCATAGAGTGAATATCGCGTCTTTAGTATGGAGTATTACACCACTTCACGTGCACCATCTGGGTATCGACATCAATTCACATACGATTGCTCCAAGGTGTGTCGTCGCTAGTGTAGAGCGTACTCATCTTTTTTTCCTGTCGCTGCCTTTTTTATCTATTTTATTTCCCCCTTTTATCGGTCCCTATACGGATCGTGTTTGGTTGTTATTGCACACGTAAAACGAGTGAAACTCCAATAGATGAATAACAGTATAGAAGTTTTGATATATTTCTGGGATGGTGTATTTTTATTGTAGGCGTGAAGTAGCTGTTGAAAAGGGCATAGTTTGTATCGTCAATCTAGGTGTAGATGATAGCTGATAATGTATTGCAGAACGGATGGGTGATAACGAAGCTTCACCACCCTAGTGATATGAAAAACAATAGTGATAAGTATATTTCACGACTACTGCATTTCACCGCGTTGAATATCGGCTTTTTCACAGAATATTAGATCACTCCATTCAAAAGGTGTTGTTGTGAAACTCCAATGTATCACATTTCCTTGTTATGTCATTGTTGTAGATGCTCTGATCTTGAGAAATCTCTAGCAGAGGCATTGGAAAAGTTGAGGGCTCGTGAAGAGGACTATGGCAAATTACTAGAGGTGATTATCATCATTATGATGATGATGATGATGATGATATGATGATGATGATGATGAGTGTTTGTTGATAGGATAAGATGGCACTTGAGGAGACGATGGAGAAGAAGTTGGCTGAGGAACGGGAGGTGGGGCTAGGGGCTATGGTGAGAAGGGGGATATTGTACAGTAGGCAATATTGATGATAGTGACAACACTACTGAATTGAATTCATTGATGATAGTGACAACACTACTGTATTGAATTCATTGATGATAGTGACAACACTACTGTATTGAATTCATTGATGATAGTGACAACACTACTGTATTGAATTCATTGATGATAGTGACACACTACTGTATTGAATTCATTGATGATAGTGACAACATTACTGTATTGAATTCATTGAT